TCGGCTAGAATTCCGTCTTTGTATGTAGCCCGTTGTAGCTCCTCCCGAGCTGTTTTAGGCAGAAAACGACCTGATTCTTGAACTAACTGTTGTAATTCCGTCTCTATTTCCTGCAACGACTTCTTCCAATTCTGGATCGGTAGAACCTGCTTTGGCTTCTTGAATAAGTCTGGACAAGGCGTCTGCTTGACCGAAATGCTCAGATTTGACATATTCTATCTCGAAATCATAACCAATGAGGCGAAGGGCCCATCGCTTCAAGCGATTTGCAGTACGAGTATCCAATCCTTTTGTTTTAGACGAACGGAACAGAACCAGAAGGGGCCGATGATCTGTTTGAAGTATGAAATGTCGGCCATATAAAAACTTTCTAAAACGTTCAACGACAGTAACCAGTGCCAATGCTTCTTTTTCTATTTGGCTATAACCTTGTTGCGTTTTCGTCAAAGCTTTTGACATGTGAAAAATGGCTTTTACTTGTCCATCGGGATAGCGTTGAAGCAGAACACCACCGATACCTGTAGGACTCGCATCGGCAGCGACAATTAATGATTGTTGAGGGTCGAAATGAGCGAGAATCAGTGGACCCGTTAGCACTTCCTTAATCTTATGAAAAGCTTTCTTACAAGCAGAATTCCAGGCAAAAGGAGCGTCCTTTTTAAGTAAGAGTTCTAAGGGTGCTTTTAAACGATGTAAATTTGGAACGAACTTCCCGTAATAATTTACCAAACCAAGAATTGCTCTAACTTCCTTTGTATTGCTTGGTTCTTTCATAGACTTAACTGGTTTGACACGAGCTGGATCTGGTTCAATACCTCTGGAAGAAATAACAAAGCCTAGATATTTCACAGAAGGCATGTGGAACTTACATTTTCTGATGCCCAGTCTAAATCCCCAGTCTTGAAGACGATTTAGAACTGCGTTCAGGCGCTCGTCGTGCTCGTCACGATTACGACCTTAGATGAGAATATCATCGAGATATACCACAACGCCAGGGATATCTGCAAGAGCTTTTCTAATGTGCATTGGAAAATAGCTGGGGCCGGTTTCAGACCAAAAACCAGCCTATTGAACATGAACAATTCTCGATGAGTATTTATAGTTGTCAAAGGTTTGTTTTCCTCGTCCAACTTTAATTGAAAATATGCCTCGGATAGATCCAGTTGTGAAAAGACGGTGTTCCCTTGAAGCTTGGCCAAAATATCTTCAATTTGGAATGGGGAAGTCATCCGCATCCAGAGCTTCGTTTAATCCTGTGGAATAATCAGCGCAAATGCGTATATTCCCGTTTGATTTTCTTGCGACGACAATGGGGGCTGCCCATTCTGAAACATCTACGGTTAAAATCCCGTTTTCCACGAGCCGATCAAGCTCGAAACTGAGCTGTTCCTCCAGCGCAAGCGGTACTGGACGGCGTGTAGCGTGCGTAGGTTGAGTATTCGGCTTAAGGCGTAACTTGACATTTGACTTAGTGCATTCTCCTAGTTTGTCACTGAAGAGATTTGGATATTTGTTGAGCAATGATGTATCCTTGATTTCGTTAATCATGCCGTCGACATTCGAGACTCCCTCGTCGTATTTTACTAACTTGAGTTCGTCGATAACTTGTGCACTGATAAGCGCTGTATTAGGGCGATTTAAAACGATAACCGAACCCTTCGTGGAATTTCCTTTGTACATCAGGTCGCATGAAAGAATCCTTCTATCTTAATTCTTTGACCTGAGACGCTTACGCAAGAAGATTTGTACGGTTGCAGCGTAGGGCGTCCTAATTTCGTCCATACTTTAATTCCGATTGTAGTTACATCAGCGCCAGTGTCTAATTGCATTTTAAGCTTTTTTCCGTTAAGCAAAATTTCCACGTATTTTCTATGCTTAGGAGAAGCACCTGAAACATTTTCCAAATGAATCGATTCGATTTTCTTCTTACCTTTAGAGAGACAGACTTTTGCTATATGACCAGTCTTTTTGCAAATCCTACAGTCCGCGTCTTTGAACGGACAGTCTTCTCTTTTGTGTGTTGTAAGGCCACAGCCGCGGCATTGCGAAGATGACAATTTCTTCTTAGTCGGCTTAGTGTGGTTCTTGGCTTCCTTATTCGAGCCTAATGTTCCAGCCACTTTTTGTAAGGCATTAACTTCGTGGCTATGCTGGTCTTCGACGCGTCTTACATCCGCAGTACGTTCTACGTGGGCGTAACAAATTTCTCTAATGTCACTGTAGGTGCAATTTTCCTTCTCAGCTGTAATTTTAAACAAGAGAGCACGTTCAGTATGATAAGCATGGTCGCTAAGTGAAATTGCAGTAAGCAAAATTTTAAGTTGATCAATGTTGAAATTATTAATTTCAAAAGCATCTCCCAGGATGCTTATTCGATCAAGAATATCGATTACCGCCATGGGCGGCGTTGCCCGAAAATTTAGAGCTTCGAAGCGGCGTTGAAAAAGCGACTTGTTATCGTGAAATTGTTTCTTTAGTTGCTTGACGAGGTCAGAGAAACTCAAATCGTATGGCTTAGTAGGCGACAACCGGCTTAACAAACGTTGATATTCGTCATCGCCCAATGCGTTAAGAAGTAACTGTTTACGTTCTTCCTCGATTAGACCTTTAGCACCTTCTGTAAAAGTGCCTTCGTGGCATTCGTACCACAACGTAAAGGTTTTGCCTTTATCTGGCTCGTGTGTGAATTTTCCCAAACGCTCGGCAAGATTTGAGAATTGCGAAGATTTTGCCAGAGGGGCGGAAACAAAGTTATCCGTAGCCAACGATTGCGAAGAAATAGAAGCGAGGTTACCTTGCGTTTGTTGCAAAAGCGTTACCATGTGTTTCTGCGATTCAGCTAACTATTGCATGAGAATCTGCTGGCCTTGAGCTAGTTGCTGTTGACTTTGAGTTAATGCACTCAAAAGTTGTTCCATCTCGAGATCGTGTATGTGGTTCTTCTAACCTCAACTTTGAGACTCGTGTCCGCAGCGCCAATAGTTGTGTCCTTTGGTTAAAGGGTTTATTATGCGAACGATCTCGTAAGAGAGTACAGAGAAGGAGTGTACAGAATGTAAGACTCTAATGTCCTTAGATCTTGTAAGACTCGGTGACAGTCTAACGTGTTCGCGTTGTATCTTACAACGAACATAACATAACTCTGCCGCGCTCTCGTAGCGCGCGCATCTTCCTATGGCGTCAATGCAGGGGCGACCATCGTGCGTGTGGCCCCAAGAGACCCAACACCTTCATTTTGGAAGTTAAATGAATAAGGTTCTACTTGTGACTTCCTTTCTTCTTCACCTACTTTGTTGAAAGTAGAATGTACCAATGATGCAGTTTGAGACAAACATGGTTCCTCATTAAGATTATTCATATGCATTGAGGATGGAAATGAAAATTCAGTGGTTTCAGGAACATCACTTAACGGAAAATCAGATGCAGATATTGATGAGTTACGTGAAGAAATTTTAGAAATTCCTCTTCTTTTGTATTGTTTTACTGGATACAAAATTCTTCTGCTTGATATTATCTATTTTGCGTTGCTTTTCGTGTTTCTTGTTGATATTATTTTCATATTGGCTATTACAAACTTTTTTTAGTTGTTTTTGTTCACAGCTTTGGCTAGAATTGTTTTGAAACTCCTGAAGAACTTTGATCCTGCTGGCATGATTTTCGACAGATGGCTTTCTGGAAGCTTCCTTTCTCTCTTTATTTCCTACTTGAAATACGTGGATATTTTTTACTTCATTTAAAATATCAGAGTTCACCTGAGGTAAAGTCGTCGTACTGTCACTGTCATCAGTCATGCTTTCGCTAAGCCTTCTAACTTTACGCTTTCGAGGACCTTTTTTCTTTAGTGACATATCGTTTTCTTCATTCTCACTATCTTTGTCAAAGTCCAAGTATCGCTTTGGTAACTTCCTCTTTCTTGGGGCACCATCTACTTCCGTTTCAAGTGATGTGTCATCCTGAGCTTTTTTCAAACCTCTAATTGCATTATCATATTTATCTGTAATAACAAATGTAATAGCAACAGTTTCAATAGACTAACATGGTAGAAATATTAAAAAATGTTATTGGTACTTCAAATTTTATATATGTAACCACTACAGGAAAAAAACCGAAAATAAATCTACTTTTTCATATATTTATTTCATAAAATTTTACTTAATAAATATGGATAGAGAGAGAGAG